AACAATTATAATGGAAATATTGACTATAATAATAGTAATAATGATAATAATAACAATATTGATAACGACAATGAAAATAATTTTGATAGTAATAATAACGATATTATGAAAAATAATATTGCCATAAAAATTAGAACTATAATGGTAACAACATGATGATAATGATGATTACAATAATGATATAAATATAATAACAACGATGGTGATATAATAACTGATAATATGATAATAATGATGATAACGATGGCAATACTAAAACTGACAATAATATTATCTATAATAATATAAACAATAATGAAAGAAAATAGAGATAACAATAATAATGATGATGATAATGAGACCAATAGTGATGATGATACTACTAATATTATTAATTAAGGATAACGATAATGATAATACTAATGACAACAATTAATGGTAACGACCATGATGATAAAAATAACAGTAACAATAACATAAATATATGGCATTAGAAATATAGATATAAAATAGAGCACTAACAATAAAAACAATAATAATGTGTACTGACGAGAAAAAGAGTGTGAACGCATATTAAAATATATTTTGTAGATTCCGCCCGGATCGAACCGGGGACCTTGCGCGTGTGAAGCGCACGTGATAACACTACACTAAAGAGACTTACATATTAGATATGCAGCCAACGGAGGTTTTGTATAACGAACTTTGTACCAGTTGCTGAGTACAGGATCATGTAGCGAATGATGGAGCATATGGAGAATTGGACGTCTGCCGGGGACCCACAAAAGGGGAAAAAAAAAAAAAAAAAAAAAAAAAAATTGATCAAACATAGAGAGGTACCGCACACAATGTATTTCAGGGTTATTTACATATCACACTGGGTAAAAAATGGTTCATTCCAGACATAATATCTGCTGCATTAGGCCTGCCAGACGCCCAAAAAGGGCCTAAAAATTTGGGCTGGATCAAACATTATTGGTACCACCTGAAATAAAGTTTATTTACTTCAACACATCTGAGAGAGTACAGAATGGACAATTCCAGACAAATTACCTACTGCATTATGCCCGCCAGACACGCCCAAAGTGACCCCCCCCTGCTCTGGCAAACTGATGTAGATGAAACATGAAAGATACTGAATGAAACTACTTTTGAATGAAAGGTAACATTCCACCAAGTACAAAGGTACCCTTGCCATACATACTGCCAGCTGCATTAGGCCTAAAAATTTGGGCTGGATCAAACATTATTGGCACCTGAAATAAAGTTTATATACTTCAACACATGACCCTATGCAATGTTCTAGCTGTAGAAAAAACATGAAAGAACTGAATGAAACTGTTTGAATGAAAGGTAACATTCCACCAACAAAGTGACCCTTGTCAGACATACTGCCAGCTGCATTAGGCCTGCCTGACACCGGAAAGGGCCTGAAATTCTTGGCTGGATCAAACATTACTGGTACCACTTGAAACAAAGTTAATATACTCTGATACGCATCAGAGAGTACAGAATGGTTTATACCAGACAAATTACCCACTGTATTATGCCTGCCAGACATGCCCAACAGTGTGTGTATGTATGTGTGTGTGTGTGCTCTCTCTCTCTCTCTCTCACACACACACACACGCACACGCACACATACACTCTTACATGCACACTCCCACGGTTTGTGGAAGAGGAACTCGAACGAGGCCACTCAAGAGCGGGAGACCAGGCTGAGGGTCTGAGGCGAACGAGGGGCCCCCTCGAGCAGAGGGCGAGGGACCAGGCCGAAGGCTCGGAACTCACAGCATCCGGACGCCCTTCCTGACGCCTGTCTATCTATCCACGCTTGGGACCGGCACCCACAGAGGCTGGCTTGTCCCCGAGGTGGCTTTTACAAGGGCAATCAAGGTGAAGTTCCTTGCGAAACACATGTAAACAAGACAGCATAATGCAGAAGGCTGGCGGAGGGAAGCGGTCCAGCTGTGCTCGACTCGCCCGTGGATAGGATAGGGATAGGGTGGGGCAGGAGAGGATAGAGTCAAGGGTAGAAGGGTAGGGTAAACGGGGAAAAGGAATGGAAAAGGGAGGAATGAGCGTAGAAGTGGAAGAGGCAGAACAAGCCGAGAGAAGGAGAGGAAGAGGGACGTGGACGTAGAGGGAAGTGGAAAGAGTTGAAGGAAAAAAGAGGGTGCGAATAGGGGAGAGGGTTAGAAGGATAGGGAAGGATGGAGGGGGGGGGGAGGTGATGGTCTTAGGATGGAGGAGGTTGAAAACCTCACGCACACACACACATACACACACGCAGTATGTACACACACACACACACACACACACACACACACATATATGTATATATATATATATATATATATATATATATACTATGTTATATATGTTATATACATATATTATATATATCATATACTATCTATCTATATTATCTATCTATGTATATATATATATATATATATATATATATAACTTTTCACTGCCATCTCTCCCTCCACCCTCTTTTATTTTCATTTCCACCTCATCATCACCCGCCTTCTCATCTTCCTCTTCATTCCCTTCTTCCTCTTAATCCTTCGCCACTTTCTCTTCCTCTTCCTCTTATTCCTCCTCCTACATCGCCTTCACCTCTACCTCCCTCTTCTTCTCCTCCTCCTCCACTTCCTCCTTCTCCTCCACCACCTCTTCCCCCTTCCTTCTCCTCTTCCTCTCAATCCGCCTCATCCTCTTCCGCATTCCCTCTTTCTCCTCATTATCATCTCCCTGTTCTTGTTAAATGTGGATGCATCAAAGAGGCATAAATTTTTTCAAACTGTCTGTCTAATAGTGCTTTAGTGTTTGTTTTCAGTGGCACCTTAAGCCACACTGTTTACCAATCGACTGAATGTGATTGATATGGCATTTCCAGCTCTATTGGGGATCTCAATAAATACCAACAAATATATTTAAAGAGGTAAATAAGAGCCAAGGTTGAACGTTGCTGTAACAAACGTTGCAAACAGCTGATCGGCAAAGCTGTGAAGACGAAAAACAAACAAAACGAAAACAACAACAAAAAACGTTAGATAAACAGCCGAGACTCAGGTTCTGCGGCAAACCGTCTTGGAAGGAGAAAAGGAAAGGTAAAGGTAGAGGTAAAGGAGGGGGTAGGGAAGAGTAAGGAATGGGTAGGGGAAGGAGAGGAGGAGAAGATAAGGAAGGGTAAGAAGGATAAGGAGAATCAGGAGAAGAATGGGGTATGATAGGGATGAAAGAAGAAGGGGTAGGAAGGAAGGAGGAAGATAAGGGATGATGGAGGATAAGGATAAGGAGGGGGTAAGGAAAGGTAAGGAGAAGGAGGAAGATAAGGAGAGGTAAAAAAGATAAGGAGAATAAGAAGAATGGGGAGGATAGGGATATAAACAAAATAATATACCGTTTAAATTCCTAATTAATATGAGATTGCATAGTGTAGTGGTTATCACGTGCGCTTCACACGCGCAAGGTCCCCGGTTCGATCCCGGCCGGAATTAACTAAAATTATTTTAATATACGTTTTACGCATCGGCGAAAGTAATGAAAATCATGAGGTCGCGTAATATGATATGAAACTAGTTTTGACGGAGAAAAAGAGGCATTGTTTTACACCCGTTTCTCGCCCATTCTACGGTCGTTAAGGGATATTTTGAGACGAACGGAAAAGAAAGGCTTATTTAACATGTTTGTCTGCCTGTTTTTTTTCTATTTCTGTCTATCTGAGTATTGATCTGATAAAGATAATAACAAATGATAATGGCTATGATAATGATGATAAAGAGTAGTGATACCAATAATGGTAATGATAGCATTAACAGTGATAATAATAATATAAATAATAATAACGATAATGATGACAATAATAATATTAAGGGTGACACGTACTAATGATGATAATAATAGGAATTATGGTTGTGATAAGAATAAAAATAATCATAATAAAATGTAATAACAATAATTATGATAATGTTATTAGTAATATTAATGATAATGAAGATATCAACAATAAAACGATAATAATTATATTATTGAGTAAATATTAATTATAATGATAATGATGATAACTGCAATGATAACAAGAATACCAATTACACATATTAAGGATAGGATAAGCCGATAAAAGAAATAACAAAAACAGGAAAAAAATTGCAGTAGTAATAACAATAACAATAACAACAATAATAAGGCAATAATGATGATGAGATAATTGATGATAATACTTGTAACAATGAAAAAAAATTACATAAAAAAAAACGATAATGATAATATTAATAACAAGAGAACAATAGTTATAATGATAACCATAACAAAATAGCAAGTAAAAAACATGTCAATGATAATAAAAAGATATGAAAAAGAAAATAATGATAATAGCAATACACTAACAATAACAATTGCAATGATAATAATGATTGCAATAATAATAACATAACAAAAACAACAATCATAATGGAAATATTGACTATAATATAATAAATGATAACGATAACAATATTGATAATGACAATGAAAATAATTTGATAGTAATAATAACGACATTATGAAAATAATATTGCCATTAAAATTAAAACTATAATGGTAACATTAACATGATGATAATGATTAGAATAATGATAAAAATATTATAATAACAACGATGGCGATATATAACTGATAATATGATGATAATGATGATAACGATGGTAATACTAAAACTGACAATAATATTATCTATAATAATATAAACAATAATGAAAGAAAATGATAGAGATAACAATAATAATGATGATGATAATGAGACCAATAGTGATGATGATACTACTAATATTATTAATTAAGGATAACGATAATGATAATACTAATGACAACAATTAATGGTAACGACCATGATAAAAATAACAGTAACAATAACATAAATATATGGTATTAGAAATACAGATATGAAATAGAGCATTAAAAATAAAAAACAATAATAATGTATATTGACGAGAAAAAAGAGTGTGAACGCATATCAAAAAAATATTTTTCGTAGATTCCGCCCGGGATCGAACCGGGGACCTTGCGCGTGTGAAGCGCACGTGATAACCACTACACTAAAGAGATCGACATATTAGATTTGCAGCCAACGGAGGTTTTGTATAACGAACTTTGTACCAGTTGCTGAGTACAGGATCATGTAGCGAATGATGGAACATATGGAGAATTGGACGTCTGCCGGGGACCCACAAAAGGGGAAAAAAAAAAAAAAAAAAAATCAGATAGATCAAACATAGTACCGCACACAATGTATTTCAGGGTTATTTACATATCACACTGGGTAAAAAATGTTCATTCCAGACATTATCTGCTGCATTAGGCCTGCCAGACGCCAAAAAGGGACTAAAAATTTGGGCTGGATCAAACATTATTGGTACCACCTGAAATATTTTACTTCAACACATCTGAGAGAGTACAGAATGGACAATTCCAGACAAATTACCTACTGCATTATGTCCGCCAGACACGCCCAAAGTGACCCCCCCCCTGCTCTGGCAAAATTGATGTAGATGAAACATGAAAGATACTGAATGAAACTACTTTTGAATGAAAGGTAACATTCCACCAAGTACAAAGGTACCCTTGCCAGACATACTGCCAGCTGCATTAGGCCTGCGAATAGGGGGAGAGGGTTAGAAGGATAGGGGAAAGGAAGGAGGGGGGAATGGTCTAAGGATGGAGGGTTGAAAACCTCACACACACACACACAGCATGTATATGTACACACACGCACACACACACACACACACACACACACACACACACCACACACACACACACACACACATATATATATATATATATTATATATATATATATATATATATATATATATATATATATATATATATATATATATAATATGAATTATGGTTGTGATAAGAATAAAAAAATCATAAATAAAATGTATAACAAAATTATGATAATGTTATTGTAATATTAATGATATGAAGATGATATCAACAATAAAACGAAAATAATTATATTATTGAGTAAATATTAATTATAATGATGATAATTGCAATGATAACAAGAATACCAATTACACATATTAAGGATAATGATGTTAAAGCCGATAAAAGAAATAACAAAAACAGCAATAATTGCAGTAGTAATAACAATAACAATAACAACAATAATAATGAAATGGCAATAATGATGATGATAATACTTTAACAATGATAAAAAACAACAATAATGAAAAAAAACGATAATGATAATATTAATAACAACAGAACAATAGTTATAATGATAACCATAACAAAATAGCAAGAAAAAAAAACATGTCAATGATAATAAAATATGAAAAAGAAAATAATGATACTAGCAATAACACGAACAATAACAATTGCAATGATAATAATGATTGTAATAATAATAACAATAACAAAAACAACAATTATAATGGAAATATTGACTATAATAATAGTAATAATGATGATAAAAACAATATTGATAACGACAATGAAAATAATTTTGATAGTAATAATAACGATATTATGAAAAATAATAATGCCATTAATAATTAGAACAACTATAATGGTAACATTAACATGATGATAATGATGATTACAATAATGATAAAAATATTATAATAACAACGATGGTGATATAATAACTGATAATATGATATAATGATGATAACGATGGTAATACTAAAACTGACAAAATATTATCTATAATAATATAAACAATAATGAAAGAAAATGATAGAGGTAACAATAATAATGATGATGATAATGAGACCAATAGTGATGATGACTACTAATATTATTAATTAAGGATAACGATAATGATAATACTAATGACAACAATTAATGGTAACGACCATGATAAAAATACAGTAACAATAAAATAATTTTATATGGTATTAGAAATACAGATATGAAATAGAGCACTAACAATAAAAACAATAATAATGTATATTGACGAGAAAAAAGAGTGTGAACGCATATTAAAATATTTTTCGTAGATTCCGCCCGGGATCGAACCGGGGACCTTGCGCGTGTGAAGCGCACGTGATAACCACTTCACTAAAGAGATTACATATTAGATTTACAGCCAACGGAGGTTTTGTATAACGAACTTTGTACCAGTTGCTGAGTACAGGATCATATAGCGAATGATGGAGCATATGAAAAACTGGACGTCTGCCGGGACCCACAAAGGGAAAAAAAAAAAAAAAAAAAAAAAAATCAGATAGATCAAACATAGGTACCGCACACAATATTCCAGGGTTATTTACATATCACACTGGGTAAAAATGGTTCATTCCAGACATAATATCTGCTGCATTAGGCCTGCCAGGGGCCTAAAAATTTGGGTGGATCAAAAATTATTGGTACTAAAAATAAAGTTTATTTACTTCAACATCTGAGAGTACAGAATGGACAATTCCAGACAAATTACTACTGCATTATGGCCAGACACGCCCAAAGTGACCCCCCTGCTCTGGCAAAACTGATGTAGATGAAACATGAAAGGTACTGAATGAAACTACTTTTTGAATGAAAGGTAACATTCCACAAGTACAAGGTACCCTTGCCAGACATACTGCCAGCTGCATT